AAGGGAAGGGCTGATGAGGAGAGGGGACACGCGAGGAAGTTCATGGAGTACCAAAACAAACGGGGCGGTCGTATCGTATTGCAGGACATCACCAAACCGGCCAAACAGGACGGGTGGACACCGTTGGAGGCCATCGAGGCCTCCCTAAAGTTGGAGCGGACCGTCAATCAGGCGCTTCTGGACCTCCAGGGTATCGGCGCTAAGACTAACGATCCGGAGTTCACGGACTTCATTGAGAGTGAGTTCCTTCACGAACAGGTGGACGACATCAAGAAACTCGGCGATCACGTGACTAACTTGAAACGGGTGGGCCTGGGTCTCGGGGAGTACCTCTTTGACAAACAGACCCTGTCCTAAATATATCGTTAACTCGTATACAGTATTCACTCGTTTTATAAAATAACAATTAATACAGTAATGAGTGAACAGAATGTATACACAAAAGAGTTTCATTTCAATTGTATTCATACTTATGATTGAGATCATGATAATAAACGGAAATTATTTTGAATTTAAACACAATTGAATTTATTTATTAAAATAATTATCTAAACATTAATAGACTTATAAAAATATTAATTAAAAAAATTCTTTATTTTAACAACATGTGTCTCTACAATATAAAGGTCTGATACATTTATACCACTATCGAAACTTTCTGTAATATATGATCTTGCTATACTGTAATGAAACATTTAGAAATAATTAAAAAGATTAAAAATTCTAATATAATATAATATTCAATTATAAAACGGCAATATATAATTAAGTGTCAGTCAGTAAACTCGAAAATAATTGAAAAATTACAGTACCGTAATAGTGAAATAATAACTTATAATTAGTGATCATTAATTTCACTATTAACTACTAAAAGAATTTATTTTACAGTATTATTGTACAATATACTGCACATTATTGTACATATTGTATTATACTAATATCATTTAATTTAACTTGCAAAATCTGCATTTTACATAATTATATTGTTTATTAAATACAGTAAATAATTTCATATTGAAGTAAATGATCAATTGATATTTATGATAGGATATAATTGTACTTAAGGGTACACTACTATGTTGATTTTATTAGTATAGGTATGTATAAACTCATTTATCACGTGAAAATTAAGTCTGCATGGGAGCTAAAATAATTGTCATATTTATTGATTAGTTATACTGTATCTATGATATGTGCCTATTATATTTATAAGTACGCCCTTAATATAACTAGAAAGTATAAAAGTAAGAAATGTCATTTATAACATTTTTATATTTAGATAAGTAATATTTATTAAAATAATATTTTGTGCAAAATGTTAATTAAATTTGCTCTATATTTATGTGTAATTCAATTGTGTTGGGAATGGGGTCTGTGTTTAGATGTGAACACAACCTCTGGTGTAGTGAGAGGACAGACCTTTCATGTATTGAATACAAGTATTGATGAGTTTTTGAATATACCTTACGCTGAGCCAC